GGCAGCTCTGTAGGGCGTCAGGGCAGTGGCTGGCCCAGGTACTCCGTGATGGGGGTGGAGAAGGCCGCGTTCCTCCGAAAGGGGGTGTCCGTGGTGCAGATGCTGGTGACACCCTGGAGGGGGAGGAATCGGAGAGGGTCACCGTGAGCAGCGCAGAGCCAGCGCGGAGGGCGCTGGGCAGGGCAGGGCGGCGGGGTGCTTACGGGCACGCGGTGGGCTTGCTCCAGCCAGTAGCTGTGGGGCTGCTCCGTGTAGCAGTCGTGGGGCTGTGGGGGGGAGAGGGGCAGAGCCCGGGGGGCGGGAGAAGGACATCCAGCTGCCGCTCCGTGCTCTGAGGGGCTCTGGCAGGCCTGGGGCTCCCAAAGTCCCCTGGCTGTTCCCAGTGCTGGGCAAGACAGCCGTCATGAGCTGTGGGTGGCCTGGGCGCTGCCACGAGCTGGGAGGGCGCCCTCACTCGGGGTGAGCCATACCTGGGTGGCAGGCAGCGGTGCAGGCTGAAAGCCCTCTGCACGGTAGTCCTGGTGCGTGGTGGAGATGGACTCCATGGGAGCAGGGGGCGGACAGATCTCCTCCAGCATCTCCTTCCTGCAGAGAGAGCTCTGAGGCTTGGAGGCAAGAGCTGGACAGGGCCCCCAGCACCACTCGGCCTCGGTGCCTTCGGATATACACAGCCCTCCCTCCAGGGTATTGCTCCAGGCCTGAGGCCCAGAGCAGCCGGCTAGGAGAAGAGGAGGGCTGGCTGGCGCAGTCCGGGTGAATTAAATGCCTCTGGGACTAGGGGACCACCTCGCGCTCAGGAAAAGCTGATGCCAGAGCATCATCCCCAGCCCTTCCTCACCTCCTGCCAGCTCAGCTCACACCTCAAGAGCAAGCTCCGGATCCTCTTCGTCCCTTTGCTTCCTCACCCCAGCTGTGCTCCCGCAGATCAGCTGGCCGGGGAGGAGGAGCTGGTCAGCCCAGGCCCAGCTGACCGACTCATACTCTCGCAGGGATGGAAAGCAGCAGAAAACACCCCAGGCCCAGATCATAGCTCTGCTGAGCCAGGTCTTAACTCTGCCAAGGTCCCTCCAGGACCACCGAGGCAGGCTGCTGCACTGGGGAACCTGCCTCCCACCCGCAGCTGGAGCCCAGCAAGCAGTGACGGTGAGGCCTGACGGTGGCTGTCCCGAGGAAGCGCAGACTTGCCTGTATTTCTGGTGCAGCATGACCTCCAGCATGGCTTCCCGCTGCCCTGCGGGGGAAGCAGGCACCGTCAGCCCCCGGGGCAGCCAAGGCCCCCCATGCTCACCGCCCCCATGGAGGGCCCCGGCGCAGCAGGGCT